CTGGGCCAAGCCGCCAGGTTGGCGCATGTGCCAGGCTCCCAAACTGCCAGGCCGCACCAGGTGGGCGCCTTAGAGCTACTTAGTCTGTTAGTTCCCTGCATAGTCTTTGAGTTCATAAAAAAAAGGGGAACTGTAAAGCGAGAGCTTCAGTTTCTAAAAAGTGAGGACTTAGCTTTTTGGGAGAAGAGGACTTAGCTTTTTGTAGGATGAGAACTTAGCGTTTTGGGAGAAGAGGACTTAGCTTTTTTGTTGGACGAGAACTTAGCTTTTTGTAGCATTCCCATAGGCAGCGCCAAATGATGTAACCGTTTCTGGTCACGTATCAATTTTTTTTTGCTAAGTACCTCGTCATTTGGTCTGCTCCCAAGTGGCATGTGACTCAAGAGGCTGAAGAGGAGCTCCCTGGTGGCGAGCTACCTGGTGGCGATATGCCTAGTGGCGAACTGCCCAGTGCCGAGCTGCCTGGTGGTGAGCTACCTAGTGCGGAGCTGCCTGGTGGTGGACTACCTTGATGCCGAGCTCCCTAGTGGTGAGCTACCTTGATGAGCTTTGTTGCTCTTTTAGAGGCCTGCAAAGAACCAAATGTCAGAGGACCCAGGGTGGCTAACCTGGCAAGGTCGCTCCGATGCCTAAGTTAGCACTTGGTTGAGAGCTGAAAATAACCTTAGATTGCAAGAGAGTTGGAGAGCAAAGATTACCCCTCTCATCTCCCCTCCCCCCTGGAGGGGGGAGACCTTTATATACTAGAGTCCTCGTGAGTTAGGTGGAGCAGTTCCTGGATTCTCGCCGTGATGGGACCTGCTTTCGTGTTAGGTGGGGATAAAGCCACCAACTGATAAGGTTGCCCATTTCCACCTGACTTGGGGAGTGGGTGAGCTAATATAGCCGTTACAAGTCACAATCTTGTAAAATGCGGGGTATGGTGGTGATCTCCTCGGGGTTGTCAGGTTGGCGCATGTGCTAGGCCACCAGGTCACGCCTGGGCCAGGCCACCAGGTCATGCTAGGGCCAGGCCACCAGTTCGCGCCAGGGCCAGGCAACCAGCTCGTGCTAAGGCCAGGTCGTGCCAGGGCCAGGGCACCAGTTCGCGCCTGTGCCAGGTCGCGCCTACGCCAAGCCGCGCTTGGTTGGACACCATCAACTTAGCAAAGACAAGTTGTTGCCAAAGTGGTCCCGGGTGTCACATAGTTGTTCTAAGGTGCCAGGTGTCACAAGATCATTGGAGGGTCAAATCCGCCCTCATCAATTATGATTTTTAGTTAATTCATAAAATAATATTTGCTTTTATAATTCTTTAAGTTTAACAATATTGAATAATTGAAAGTTTTATAATTAAACTTTCACTAAATGAGGTATTTGTTGGAGAATTAATAGTATTAATTATAATTACTTGTAATAATAATAATGTAAATAAGTAACACCAATTATATATTTATAAAATATTTAATATGAATTAATATTAATATAAAATTCCCAATTAATAACTAACATTATTAAAATGCTTTTTAATTATCATTAATTAATTAACATTCCAAATTAATAATTATCATCATTAATATTAGCAATAATTATTTATAATTATTGATAATAATAATATAATTATATTATTAATTATAATTAATTATAATAATATAATTACATATAAATGTATGAATTATAATTTCTGATATTAATTTTAATATAAATAATTAACATTAAATATTTATTTTCAAAATAATTAATATGAGTTAATATAAATATAAAATGATTATTTCTGAATTATTAATTACCATTATGAAAATATTTTTTAATTATCATTTCGAATTAATAATGAGCAATATTATCATTAATAAATTATCAGTAATTAAGTATTGGAAGTAACTATTATAAGAAATTATTTTCTGAATTAATAATGAGAAATACTATCACTAATTAATTATTATCAGCAATTAAGTAATAGCAGTAATTATTATAAGAAATTTTTATCAATGATTAATTATTATTTGTAATTAATAGCTGGAATTAATTAATTAGAAGTAGTTAATATTAATTAATTAGTAATTAACAATAATTATTATTAGTAATTAATAGATGTGATTAATTAATTAGAAGTAGTTAACAGTAATTATTTTTAGTAATCAATAGCTGTAATTAATTAATTAGTTTAGTAGTTAACATTAATTAATATCACAGTTTCCTCTGTTTTCGGAAATGATTGAAAGTGGGAGCTTCCCACTTCTCACAACTCTGCATGGTGGTGGGCTTCACTCTGCATGTTAGTGGGCTCTTTTCCTGAACTACCACTAATTAGAATTTGACACATGTCTAATGGACTCTATTCTTGAACTACCACTAATCAGAATTTGACACATGTCAATTTTGTTTAAATCTTTGGAATGACAATGATAGGTATCTGTAGATGGGCCACATGTCTAACTGTAGGGGGATTTGGCCTGAAATCATTACTTTAATATATATATTAGATTTCAAGATAAATGTCCTTACACGTGGAGTAATGTTTGGAGGTTTGAAAAAAGGCAAAAAAAAAAAGTCCTTTTAACTATATATAATCAGTAAAGGCTATATTTAGAAATATTTCAATACGTGGCAAGATCTCAGGGTTTGACATGGATCATCCACAACTTGAAACCTGATAAACATTCTTCCAACCCTAACATTAATAAAGAATAGGGTCCGACTATGATATCCCAAAAGCAATTTACCAATAAATTGGAATCATAGTCGTTGTAGTAAATAAGGTGTTTATCAAAATTCATGGGTGGATTTTTTATTGGTCAAAACTCTTTTCATACCGCATCATAAATTTTCCCTAAAGAATATAGTAGACAAAAAAATCATGAACAATGATGAAGTTTTTATCTATTGGATTCATATGTTGTTTCAATGCTTTATAAAATTGAAATCATCAATAACTTAGAAAGGCTAGTCTTACTCTACATCTACACTAACTATATTGTCTTTATTTTCTTCTTTTTTCGGTATATAAATATAAATTGTTGCCTATATCAACCATGTTGTCTTAGGCTCTTAGCTCACGTCTTTTTCAGCATCCTAGGTAGATTATATATGGAACCTTCATAAATAACAAATCTTGTATAGTGAGCATACAGAGGTTAAAAGTATACTCATTTATAAAAAGGGAAATTGTCTAAAACTCACAATGAGTTTTCAGCATTTCTCTTAAGCTCACCAGTCACCACAACTTTTCAAAATATCTAAAACTCACCATGTCACTAACTTGACGTTAAACTGACTAACGGGTGTTAAATATTACCATTTTAACCTTCATAGAAAAATATAAAATATATACAAAATAAATTAATGGGTGTTAATATATTACCATTTTAATATTTAGACATGAAAAAAGGAAAAAGTTGAAAAAAATATTTTCAATTATAAAATGCATAAAAACATAGAAATTACAAAAAATATAAAAAATTATAGAAATTGCAAAAAAATAAAAAATTATTTTCAAATTATAAAAATTATAGAAATTGAAAAACAAAATCAGAAAATAAAAATTGTAGAAAAAGCACCAAAAATTATAAATAAAAAACAAAAATACAGGAAAATTTATAGATTGTAGAAAATAGAAAAATGTAAAAAAACAGAAATTATAAAAAAAAAACATTGGAAATTATAACAAAACACTAAAAATGCAAAAAAAAAAAAACAAAAGAATTGAAAACTGAAAAAGACCATTTTTTCTCTAACACACCATTCAAGGGTAATTTGGTCATGAAAATTGTTATTTATGCTGACAAGGACACCTCTGTTAAGAAGCATTACCGGTGCACTAACGGAAGGTGAGTTTTGGAAAATAAAAACTTACTGACATTGTGACTTTTAGACATTTTGAAAAGTTGTGGTGAATTTAAGAGAAATGTTGAAAACTCGTGCTGAGTTTTAGACAATTTCCCTTATAAAAATGAGGGCAATACTTGRCTCTCATCACGTTGGACATGCACCCTACCACCTCCTGACTTTTAGATCTAAACCTCAAATTCTTAAACCTTAAAATCAATTCTAAACCCTTAAACCTTAAACTCTATGCCCCTAAATTAACCCTAAGTCCTAAGTTTTAAACCCTTAAATCCTAGACTCTAAACCCTAAAAGCTAAACTCTAAAGTTAGTATGTAAATTGATAATGGTAGAATACATGTCCTCCCACGTGTAAGGGTGCCAATGGACAGGTTTTAGATTGGACCCCGTCTAGTCCAAAATCAATTTGGACAGATTGGATGGACCAACAAGACATATTGGATTGGACCAATCCAGTCCAAAGTATTTCTTAGATTGGATTGGACTTGGYCCTTATGTAATAAATTTATATTGAATTGAGTTGGATTAAGCCAATATCTGATCCATTGATATAAGATAAGAATATAGATGTCAATGAACTTGATTTGGGTTGAAACCGATCTAAATCAAAACAGATTTGACAATAAATTAGACAGTTCAGACATTRAATTAGACCGTCTAGATTGGTCCAAAATATTCATTGGATTGGACCTGATTCATTTATAATGGACTCACATTGGATTGGATTGGATTGGATTGAAACAGATCAGTCCAATTGACACCCGTAACCCACGTGGTAGGAGACAACCAATTATCATCATTCATCATTCATCGCTGTCCAAAATTGACAAGTGCAAAGCGAGTTGAGATATTCTGCCAATAAAACACTTTCAACCCTCTACTAATTTGATCTAACACTGAACATCTCATTATGAAGTATGAGACTGGAGGCACCATAAAAATGAAAGATGTGTGGTCACGTTGGTAGAGGGTTAGAATGTGTTTTGTTGGCAGGTGATCCCCGGACTCGTGCAATTCAAATATTCACATTCAAGTACGGCATGGCTAAACAAAAGACTACAAATGAAAACCGAAAAGCATTAATTAATTTCTCTCATTGCTTGAAACAAAATTTTCTACAAATTATTCCGAAGGGATTGAAAATTCAATAGATATTAGCAAGGACCATCCTGCCTAGCTAGAACAAAAACGGAAATTGGCCCAACTGCAAAATATAAAAGAATGAAATAATGAAAATGGATACAAGGGGTGGGGGGGAATTTATGAAAGCAGCAGAGTTCATCTGCCAAATCTTGAGTGACGCAGTGACGTTGGCCTCTGTAGCATTGTTGAACAAGAAAACCCGAGCTGACTCGTATATTGCTTTTGTTGGGTATATCCTTGATGTGATGACAGTCCTCCCACCTTGGCCAAAGCTTTCCACTATCGAATGATCAACCTGCGTGAGTAACCATCCACCCACACCCACAATTGATGAGAATGTGAGGTCAGGTGATCAGTATACAATGCAACAAGCTAAAACAAACAGCGACAGAACCATCAACCTTTTCAGGCTTCAACCAGGGAAGGTTCTGGGTTCAGATAGTTTGATTACAAATCTAGCAATTAATTTTAAATAAATAGAGTGATGCTGGATGGTAGCAGATTCAATGTTGTTCTAGCTTCTGCAACAAAACAATTAATCAACTTACTAGTATCCTCATGGTTAACTTTTCGCCTTCAAGTACAGGAACCAAGCTGCCGGAGACAAATTTACCAACATGAGGGGCCAGAGAAGACCTGCACCGCAGCAGCATTTTTTTTTTTTTTCCTAACTCAGTTCATGTATTTTTATTTATTTATATCAAAGTAATTGAATATAAAAAACAACAGCCTAGCTAGAGGTAGAAAGGATGAGGGGATGGCTGAGTTAGGATTTTCTGTAATACTTAAACAGCTTTCAGAAACGGAAAGGAACAAGAAAATTAAAGGAGCATGCCTTGATTGGTCGGCACAGAAGAAGGTCCTATATTCACCACCACTGTCCTTGGAAATGTAGAAGTATACAGGTGTTTGCTCGGCTAGGCTGTCCTCTGCCAGAACCAAGATGCCGAAGGGTCCCAAGGTGCCTCTTCCGGCAGCTCCACCACCCACGACGCAGTTGTAACCAACAATGTCATCTCTGGTGGCCCCTTTTAATGCCTTACCGTCTATCTCAAACTCGGCACTTATGTCCAACTGTTACCATTGCCACAGGACAAGAAGCTTATCAACTGAAGTCAATGCAATAAATTAAGTAATTAATTAAGCTAAACAGACCTGTGTCGCTGTGCCGACGTCGAGTGGCACGACTGTTCCAGGTCCGACTACCACTTTGTTAAATTCCTTAAGATTCGATCTCAAGTTCTCCACCTCCTCCACTGGCCATTGAAGTAGATTGCTCCTAGTCTTCTGGTCAAACAGCACCACCCTTGGAATGCTCTGTACGAACGTCAAAGTCATCATGTACATGTAAAATTTTTTCATAAATCCATTGGTCTAGCTAGTTCAATTCTAATAGCTAGCTACACTGAAATAAAAAGAATTACAGTACCTGAACTGATGCCCAGCCCTTCTTTATGTCGTCGTCCTCGCTGTCGCTCTCACCAATCCAACCCCACAACACTCTTCTCTGCTTGTTTTGATCGTAGAATGTCTTGGAAGCATAATACTTACCATAATCATAGCGCAACCCAAATCCCACATCCGCCATTTCATTGTCTGGGATCCATGTATCATTCTCTACGTAGTAAGTTCCGAGCGCGTAGTAATCTATCTTAGTGTTGTCGAGGCTGGCCTTGAGCACATGCTTCACTCCAGGCCAATTGTCCGACGTGTTCAGGCCTTTCTTTTCCGTGGTTGAGACAGGATAGAAGTCCACGCATTCCCACATTCCGGTTTCGGGAACGGCATGGAGCAGTCCATCCAAAAGCTCGTAGGTGGTGAAGTTGGTGGTATGATACACTAGAGAAATGCCGGTATCGTTGATCTTGGAGCCGATAGCAACGCGCCAATGGCCGTCGGGACCGAACCAGGCGGTGGTGGGATCTCGGAAGTCCAAGTCGCGAATATGGGGCGGTGGAACCAGGATCGGATTGCCGGGATACTTAACCCAGTGGATGAGACGAGGATCTGAGGGGTCGGCCGGGTAGGCCAGGTTCTGGACCTGAACCTTGTCTTTGGTGAAGCCGGTATAAAGGACGACGATAGAACCATCGGGGAGCAGCGTGGCCGAACCGGTCCAGACACCGTTGATATCGTACCATTCATCAGGGACCATGGCAAAAGGAAGATTCTCCCAGTTGATGAGGTCCTTTGAGATGGCATGGCCCCACGTTATGTTGCCCCACACTGCACTCTCAGGGTTGTATTGGTAGAATAGGTGGTACCATCCATTGTAATACATTGGCGCTGCAACGTAACATTTCCTCGGGTCAGACAACACATTTCTATTCCAATACATTGGCCCATTTTTTTAGTTTTACATATATATATCTAAACATACTGTTGGAGCCTGGGACGTTTAGATGGCTGATCAACTCCGTCCAATTGGAATTGTTGGGGGCAAATAGAAGTATGGAACTAGGGCCACGGTACCTTATTGTTTCGGATTAAGTTGGCTATTATACCCCTCAAGGCCTCAATTATTAACAAGTTGTTATAAGTGGCTGAATGATATTTAAAACTTTTCAACTGTCCAATTTGTAATTTGATGTTTGTGGCACCTCCCATAATTGTATGGACAATAGTCAACAATACCCTCAGAATAAATTTCCTTCAGCCAAAGCCTAAATTGAGGGTGACTTTGTGCATATAATAATAAAAAAAGGTGCCATAAACGGGTAAAGTGGAGTTTTAAAAAGTTTAAAATTGTCATGTAAACAATTTTCAAACACTAAAACTGTAAGTGTAAGTTAATAGCTAAATCCAAGTATTGACCAAAACCCAGGTGACCTATATGTAATAAAGCCATAAAGGGATTCAAATAAATAATATGCAATTCCAGAAAGTAGAGATCTGTGCTGTTCAGAGGATTTACCATTAGGATCTGGAGCAAAACATAAGAAGATTCCGCCGCGATTGGATCAGAACAGTGAGAACGGAACGGCAAAATTCATGTCAGTATGAGATGAGAAACAGTAAACAAAAAAGAAGAAAATATTGGGTAATTGAGAGAGACAGAGAGAGAAAGATGGGAAGTTGGGAACCCACCATTCATCCAGTTCTTTTCGGGTTGAAAATGGTAAGCCGTTCTCTGCCAAGACAACATGGGTTGGGTCCATGGATACGTGACTCCTCCTTTGTTAGAATAGAGACGGAAAGTCTTCTCCGACACCCCTTCCAATACCCCACGTGATACCCCCACAGGTGTAGAAGATGGAAGTGAGTGATGATGATTCCTTTCCATTACATCTGTTAATGGCTCTTGTGATCTTTGAACACAGAGAAACACCATTACCAAAGCTAAAACAAAGATTCCACTCAACAATATAGATGATATCACTTTTATCGGTCTCCGGCCAGGCACCGGAGTTCCCTCTTGTTCAACTTCATTGTGCAGAGGGTTGTAAGGGTATGAGACAGCACGTTCGAGGTCGGGACAGATCCGGAAGGGATCGGTATACATGGTGATGGTGGACGTCGTGACAGTAACGGTGATGCTGATGCTGATGGTGATATTCCTACCAGAACCTACCTATTGTGCATATATTTATATATGTTAGAGAGAGAAGCTAGGTCGATGAATTAGAGAATGTGTCAGATAAGGAGGTGGTCTGCAGATCCTCATTCGTCGTTTGATGCATCCACCTTTTACTGGGACTGGGTCTATGGGCGAGGTGTTATGTGGTTGGTTAATTTTCGTGCTTGATTGGAACCGAGAGAGACACAGAGTATATGTTCCGGTGCTCGGGGCACGTTTGAGTAATCGGGTTTTTTCTGACTTTTTCTTTTCTGGCTTTTGATTTTTGAGCGAGTAAAATACAAAAGAGTTGCGTGGCTTGTCCATATGGGGAACGGAAAACGTGGTTGTTATAGCTTATAGGGATTCAAACGCTATCCAATTGTCTGAAATCTGAATTCCAATTAATTCGAATTAGATGCCATGCCACTAAGGTTGATCTCATCCGTTTATAATTAGGTATTTAGGTACCATTAACTCGTATAAGCCCTTCCTATCATATCATGTCTTTTGGACATTAGATTTTTCCTTGGATCAAAATCAAATATGAATGCACTCCTACCATCTTATACTCAAACTTCATAATATTATATCTATTAATAAATTTGGTTATTTTCAATTAATTTTATTCATTAAATATAATATCAAGGCCATTTTTAATTCACTTTATGAATTATATACTAACAGGGCCTGTACGGTGCAGACTTTGTTATGCGGAACTTGATCAAAAGGAGGTCGATCTTGATGTTTGCATGCATTTGATGCATTAAGAAAATAATATTTTTTCTTAATTTTTACAATTTTACTTTTATAACTAATTTATTCAAGGTTAAAACACATATTCTATCAACCAACATATAAACAGTTTAATATTTTATCTTCAATTTTATGAAGGTTATATTATCTATGAAGTTCTAAATTATTACTATTATAATTGGTAATTATCCGTGTCAAATATAATTGGGTCTAATAAAATCAAACCCAATTATTATCACAATTAATAATTGGTTCAATTTTGGATCCGGTCTTGATTAATGATCCGGAGATAACTGGTACATAGTGCCTTAAACCAAACCTGACCCACTGGCAGCTATAGATTCAAATGGGGGATTCAATGACACCCCACAGAGCCGGTGAGATCACATCGGTGCCCCCACAGAGCACACCCCACGGGCACCCTACAGTACATCCAAACCGTACATTGGGAACATCTCCCAATGATGTTCCCAATGCACGCTCAGATGTGCCTGTGGAACGCAGATGTGAATTCTGATCCGGTCCCGCTATATTTTTTAAAACTTTGAAATTTTAATTCCATCATTTAAGTTATCTAATTAGTGATAATACAACATCAACTAAATTAATAAAATAATTTTGAAAATTTAAAATTATTTATTTATTGAAGTTTTTTATTTTCCAATCATTGTATTAATTTCTCTATCAGTACTGAGTTGTTAGAGATTTCTAAAATTATTAAATTTTAATAACTTATATTATTCTTTTCTGTTTGGTACTATTTCGAATAAATTGAATTAATATGCATACTGTGTTAAACAAAGTAACATTGAAATATATGGATCAAGAAAAAAGGTCACGCGCAACTTGTTTTCCATCATCTTCTTTAGACGAATATGAAAACAGGTTCATAATTATTCAAATCGTTTGATCAATAAAACGGCAAAAGAAAAGGTGTCAAAATAATATTTCAAAATGTCAAATACCCCTATCTTATGCATCAATGCCCACCTGTGAATTAGTATTAATTCCGAGCTGGCGTCTACCCYAACTGTACTTTGGGCTTATGAATTCTGATGCTAGGTTGAACCGTCATTCTCCCTAAAATTTATATACACTCCAATTGTTGGTTTAATGAAAAAGCCGTCGGGGTTAATTCCACACAAAATGCATCTCATATCGATTTCACAGCACATCCCACCTTGTATTAGAACAATACGTAAATACGGAGGAGCAGATCTCATGAGAAAAAGACAAATTGATTTGTTCAAAGAAGAAATCATATTGAAGAGAAACAATAGTTCCTTTTAAAGACCAAATCTGATAGTGAATTCTGTTTGAAGAAATCAGCATATGTTAAGTAGCTCTGTCCCCCATTTATGTCACCATTTAAGATTATTCAGGATACCATGCATGTGGAAAATAACACTCAAAATAGAGCATAAAACACAGAACCAAAATCTAATTGTATGATACTTGATTTTACCTTACAAAAGCACAAGCACTTCAGTACCTGAATTCACGGAAAAGCACCCGAGTATCCTATACTTTAGGGTCAGTCTCACTTTAGTACCCAAAATTCAAAACACAGTATTGCAATATTTAAACTATATTATCTGTATCATAAGATGACATGTGCGAGTAAATTTTTCAAAAATGTCAAAACTACTCTTTTTAATATTTTTTAGACAATTGTACATTGATTGTCTTCCCCATGGGTGGCAAGAATTCTAACATCACCCCTTATTATGGATTCAATAATTGAATAAGAAAACGATTACAACGATGGCTATCTAAATCCCTCTTCTTTGKCAATAGCATCTTTAATGACATTTTTTTTTTATAAACATGGCTATTTTGGTCACTTCAAAATTATCTTTCTCTTGCCTATTCAAAACTCAAAGGGTATTTATATACTTTCACAAGCCATCTAAGGTTAATATTTTTGGACTAAACTGACAATTTTCAAGAATTCAGATATTATAGTGGCAAACTTTGAAGTTTAGGTATTAAAGTAAGACTGGTTCCAAGGTAATTTCCACCATCTTTAATAAGCAATTTACCCAAAAAAAAGAAAAAAAAAAATAATCCTTATTGGCAACATCAATCTTTGATTTTGATCATGTCTATCTTTGTTCTCTTAATTTCCACCATCAATGACCCAAAAATGATGTGAACAAACATTTTTTCTGCAATACCTCTAACTGACCTCAAAATTAGCACTACAAGTTTTAAAATGGCACCTCTGTAATTTCTAGTATATCTTTTAGAAGTGAAACCATTGACACCACCACATGCATGTCTTTTATATAGGGGTGGATTTAAGCCGAGCCAAACCAAATACTTGGTTATTCGAGTTCGATTCGAGCTAGAGACTTGAGATCAAGCTCGGTTTGGTTCATAGCTCATAAGTTGGAGCTTAACTATAAGCAAGGTGTTTTTTTTGAAAAAAAATATATATATAAAATTATTTTTTATTTTTCCGACAAAAAATAAGAATTATAAAAATTATTTACTACTATACATAATTATGTATGTATATATATATATATAATAAAAATTATTTATTTAATAATAGGCTCGAGAGTGGAGCTTCATTGGGCTTGAGTTCAACTCGATTAACAAACGAGCCTATATATCAGGCTCGAATTCAACTTGAAGCTCATTTTAAACCGAGTCGAACCAAGCTTGAATAGCTTATAAAAGGCTTGGCTCATGACCACCCCTACTTTTATATATTGGAGTCGATCTCAAGAATCTAAACGATGCTTCCAAGAATCTAACGACCCCAATTTCTGTCAACATGAACAAAAAAAATGGTAAATTACAAAGGGCCACCCTATACCTCCTCGAACTTTTTACATTGTGATAAATTCTCCTTTTGCCGTTAAGTCAGATAATGGAAGTTATTAAATTATCAATATACCCCACTAAATTCTTTTTTTATTTTCTTTTTCTTGCCCATTTTCTGTTAAAACCCAACTAACCCAAAAATATATCATTGTCTGAAAAAGAGTTGTGCGCCACTGCTCTCACTTTTTATTTTCTGGTAGAAACTAGAAACACCATGACCAGGCGTCATGGCGTGGCGTGCTTGTAGTGTGCCTGAGAGCCAGGCCTGAACCTCAAATTCTCAATCAAAGGCTGGTGACGGTGGGAGAGGATGGGTAGTTTGCACAATTGCATCGCAAGATCGAGCATTAACCTAACAGGTACCTGAATAGAAGTGGCTCTTAATACCCCACCAATTTGGGTCTTTTTTAATCAAGTCCTGCCTGAAGGTCATTTCTTCTAAAAGACACTTGCAAATTAATCTGTGTTACGTACCCTTTTCACTTTTTCAGAGATGAAAATTGATAATGCAACTCCCTCGAGAAATAACGCAGGAGCGCCACTCAAAGAGGGCTCAGGATAACAAGATCACTGAAGAGATGAATTTCATTAAATGTCGAATACCCGTCCTTGTTGGTTTATCTCTCATGGCCATTACAAGGAAATGATTTGCAATAATTACAATTAGTGATCATAATGGCAATGATTCTCCATTCTCTCTTATCACCCCCTTAACTACAGCCTTGTCCTCAAGGATGATGTTAAGAAACTGATGACAAATGTCTCCTCACCTCTTCCTAGTGGCATTTCCTACTGCAAATAGCTGTCTAAATGCATATATGACAGCTAACTTAAGAGTAGGCATACTGAAATCCACAGCAAGAGATGCTCCTTCGTTCAAACATTTCAACTTCCTCTATTGTTTTACCGAGTAACCATGTAATCATCAGTGAGCTACTGCACTCTAGAGTTCTCATCAAACAATCCTCTTCAATCGGACCATTTTTCCCCTACAAGCTGATTGGAAAGGATTGAACATGGACACTTGCACAAACAAAACCTTGTTTTAAAACATAATTCTGAACTTATCCCCCAATTGGTTCCATTAATTGCATTGAAAGAGGCAATAAATGGTCGAATTGAAAGCTCCCCCTCCTTCCTCAGGGAACTACCAACCATGACGATAACATTCATTTTGGTGCATGCTCCAACGAAAATGGATATAGCAACCATATTGATGAAGGAAGATTTGGCCCGACCTTTTGACCATCCAATACGTGGCAGAAGCAACAGCTCGGCACGACAGTACGCTCGAGGCTCAAACTCCGAGAAGAGGAACCAGCAGTCCGAGCTCCCCAAAAGGAGCCCGAACTCCCCCT